ATGTGCCTCAACATTGGTTGTGCCTTTCCCCTGTACGTCTGCTCTGTCTACCTCACCACGAGCATCGGCCTCAGTGGCGAGAACCTCGACCACCTCGAGGGCATCATGGCGTTCGTCGGCGGCCTCCAGGGGCCCTGGCTGCTGATAGGGGATTGGAACATGCTGCCGACGGACCTCGAGGCCTGGGCCAAGCATGCCAAGGGCAGATTGCTTTCGGCACAGGTGCCGACCTGTGCTGGCAGGGAGATTGATTTTGGTATCGTGTCGAACGCTCTGGCTCCCTTCGTCTCAAAGGTCGAGGCGGTAATGGGCAGCACCGCCAAGACACACGTGCCGCTGGCCATCACATTCGGGGGGCTTCATCGGGGGGCCACTGTCACGCGCGCGGTCTACCCCAAGAGGTTCCCGATCGAGAAGCCCTTGCCTGTCAGGCCGGCCCCGGTGGAGGCTCATCTAGATGAGTGGACATGGCAGGTTGGCCAGGAGCTTCCTGATAATCTGGGCGAGGCGTGCCAGTGCTGGTTGGACCACGTGGAGACCTACCTGATAGATCTTCACGACATCCAGCCTTGGTGTCAACGCAGTTGGAGTGGTCGCAGTTCCGGCCTTCGTGTTGTCCACGTTCCCTTCGAGACGGCTTGGAAGCAGGACGTCAGGGAAGGCTCGTCGCTAGAGTACAGGCAGTGGTCCTCCTACCTCTCGGCCTTCATGCGCCTGCACGCGATCGGCTTCAGCATGAAGGAGAAGGGCCTCAGTAGTTTGGCCGCCTGCAGGCGGCAAGCCCTCACCTGTCAGCGCATTGTTGTTGAATGGCCTGCAGAAGGCCCGCTTCTTGCATGGGCCGGGGCATCCTCCGCCTCGCTTATCTCTCTTGTTTTGGGGGGTGGTCGGGAGGCTTTGGCGTTCTTGGAGGGGGTGAGAGATCATGCCAACTTGCTCCAGGCCGGCGATCGCGCTGCCAGGAGCGCGAAGTGGAAAGCCTGGGCCAAGGCAGCTGCTTCGGAACAGGGGGGCCGCGCGGCGTATCGATATGTCCGAGAGCCAACCCCATGCACCCAAATTCTCACTCCAGGAGACGGAGACACGCCTCAGATGCCAGCTGTAGGGCAGCATTCGGTCGATTTGTTGCTTGAGCAATGGGAGCCGCTGTGGAACAATCCACGGCGCGATGGTGAAGTGCACCCGAGAGACTGGGGCCCCAAGTTGGCCCAGACCGTTTTGGCGGGCCTGGAGCCCGACCGTGGCCTCGAGGGGCTTGGGTTTTCCGGGGAGTTGGACCCCTGGGAGCCGTTGCCTGCCATCACCATTGAATCTCTCGATAGAGTCCTACAGTCCTACCCGGCTGGTGCTGGACTAGGGTGGGACCGCCTCCATCCGAGGCAGCTCCTCTGGCTGCCGCTCTTATATAAGGTAGCGTTCGTAGACATCCTTTTGAAATGGGAGTCCGATCCTGAGGCCCTGGACCTCTGGATGCTTTTGATTTTCTTCCTCGGGAAACCTGCTCCCGCGGGGGGTGTTAGGCCCATCGTGCTGGCGTCGATTTGGGGCAGAGTTTGGTCGAGGCTCCGGCAGCCCGTGGCCAGACGTTGGGAGCTCTCCCTTGATAATTCGGCTTTTTGGGGGTCTTCGGGGCTCACCTGCGATCGCGCGGGTCACGTGCACAATATCATCCAGAGATTTGCTCGTTTAAAAAGTTGTTCGGCTGTTAGCGGGCTTTTGGACCTGTCCAAGTATTACGAGCATATCTCGCACGCAGACCTCTTCCAGGAGGCGCTCCTCACGGGGTTCCCAGTGGCGCTGCTTAGATGCTTGTGTTCTAGTTATCGCCTGCCGCGTAGAGCGGTCTGGGAGGCGATTATTTCTGAACCTATGGTAGCAAACGGCACCGTAGCAGCAGGCTGCAGCAACGCCCTCGCATTGGCCAAATTATTGGTCCACACCTTGATTAAGAAGCTGCAGTATCGTTATCCTCAGGTTAGGTTTCAGAATTTAGTTGATGACTTTTTGTTGCAGATGATCGGTGGACGGTCCCAGGTGTTAGAACAATTCCCTTCGGCTATGATGGAGCTCGTGGCTGGCCTAGAAAGTAAATTTCTCAAAGTCAATTGGGATAAAACAGGTTATATGACCAGCGCGCCTGACCTCGACGCCGAGCTAGGCGGTCGCTGGGATCTTTGCTCCGACCACAAACTGTCTGCTGGTACGTGTCTAGGCACGGACGCGAATAGCGGGGCCTCTCGCTCTGTCTTGGAGCAGGACAAGCGCTTTGCGAAAGCGGCGAGGGTCTCGCAGCGTGTCGCGCAGTTGCGCGGGGCAGGTGCCAGTGTCAGCACGATCATGCGGGGGTCTCCTACGGCGACGGCGGTCTGGGGGTCAGCTGTCACTGGCATCTCGGAGCACAAGCTCCACTCGCTTCGTGTTGCATCCCTCCGTGCCGAGGGTAGGGCCCCCCCGGGGACGTCAGTGGCTCTGCGTCTCAGGGCCACGCCAAGGGGGGGCCACAGGGACCCATGGGTGGTCCATGCTGTTGAGGTGGCCAAGCACTGGGCGCTTTCGGTGGTTTCCGCGCTGCCAGGGTTGGGGCCTTTGGAGGCCTGTCTGGGGTCGGCCCGGGGCATCCTCCTTCGTCCCCGGCCCTGGTCCCAGGTCGTGGACCCCGCCCAGGCGGCGCTGCTTTCTCTGGCCAGGATCGGGGCCACACTGCCCAGTGCTTCGGTCTATCGGGACCCGTTTCACGGTGATTTTGATCTCCGCCGTTTCTCCCCTGCTTTCGCCATGAATCTTGCTCGGGAGTCGGCATTGGCGGCTTCTGATGTGGCGGCCCTTCGTCGGATGGAGGGCGCTTGGATCTCGCCTCTCCATTGGGCGCCTGTCTCGGCCGTGCTTGCCAGGGAGCACACAGTGGGGTGGACGGCTCACATGTGCGCGGCTATCAGGTCGCTGGTCGGCGGTAGCCACTGGCCTCAAGCTCGTTTGCATTCTCATGGGAAGGCTCTGCATGATCAGTGCGCTCACTGTGGTGCTCGTGGCACCCTCTTCCATCGATTTTACGAGTGTTCCAGGCTGCTCCCGGTCAGACGGGAGCTGTGCCCGCCCCATGTTCAGCAGGCCGCTTTTTTTGTCAGGGGCCTCAGCGAGTATTACGGCGAAATGTTTTCCCGCTGTCTATGGCCGTCTCCGAGTCGCGCCTTCCCCCGCCACGAAGCTCCCGAAGAAAATTGGCTGCGTTTCGTGAGGGTGGTTCCTGGGTGGAGGTTCTCGGGTAAAGTCTTCGTGGACGGGTCCGCTTTCAACGCAGCCCACGAAGGGCTCAGCCGAGCGGGGTGGGCTGTTGTGGCCATAGACCCCGCAGGCCAGCTTGTTGCAGCAATGTATGGTGTAGTTCCTCTAGGGTTTGCCCCGGCCCAGGTTGCAAGGGACGGGGAGGACTACGCCTTCCGCATGCTTAGCCGCTTCTCTGAATGGATTGCCGAAGACCCCCTCGAGGTCTTCTGCGACTGCTCAGGCACTGTTGAGTGCGCGCAGAATGCGGGCACAGCTTTATCTTATGATAACCCTCGGCGCCACAACTGGATTGAATGGTGGGCCGGCATAGGTCGCCGAGCGTCAGTCTGTAAAGTGAAAGCGCACCAGTCCGAGGCGAATGCAATAACTGATCATGATACCTGGCTAATTCGAGGCAACTGGATGGCAGACAAATATGCCAAGCAGGGGGCAAAGCTCTGGGCAATTCCTGAGCGCTGGCCTTTATTTGTTTCAGGTTGTAAGCGAATTGTCAGAGACTAAGCTTTGTGGCATGGACGTGCCCAAGCTGCCTTCGGGTCCCTGGAGCAACCTGATTCTGACGGCATTGCCGGTACAGCGGATATTGAATTCGAGGATGAGTTTTCGCAGGCCCTCCAGGAGGCCTGCCAGGAGGCGGGTGTGAGGCCTTTTGAGCGGGGTCCCAGGGCCATGGGGGCTATGGGTTCTGCTCTTCCTCCCCGTCCGCCTCCGCCTCATCCTGCCCCCAGGGACTTCCTCCAGGTTTCTGGTGTTCCCTGGGTGCTTAGAGGCCATTCCATCGTCCAGGCCACGGTCCAGGCAGAGGACGGTGCAGCTCTTGACGACATAATTTTTTGTAAGTGCTGTGGGGCTTCGGCGCATCAGAGTGCGCGGGGAGGCCTTCAATCGAACTGCAAAGGATCCTCCCATTCGGGGTATAAGACCCAGAGGTCCCGTTTAAAGCGCGGTTTGTTCCCAGGCCATAACCTGGGTAAGGCCACTGTGGGCACCCCGTTTGGCCCGACAGACGGGACGAAGGCTGTTTGGGGTCCTTTGCTTGGCTTTGAGCCTGTTGGGGGTGGTGCTGGTTGGGATGCGGGTCCTAACAGCGAAGCTGTAGAGGCACCAGCAGCGGCCGAGGGTGATCCTCTCCCAACCTCAGCGATCGCTGAGCTTCCGGCCTTGTCACCCCAACTGATTGCGAATTTGCAGGGTTTCGCTACCCCCGAGGCGCTTGTTGCTTGGGAGAGTGACCAGCGCCGTCGGGAGGACTTTTCGGCGGATTGGGACGAGGAGGATAGCATAGGCTAGCCTCCTGCTTTCGGCCTGTGTGCCAGGGGGTGTGGACCCACCCCGGATCATCAGTACCCTCAGTACCCTCCTGCTCCTCCTCCTCCTCTTCCTCCTCACTCCCCTCCTCCTCCTCCTCCTCCTCCTCCTCCTCCTCCTCCTCCTCCTCCTCCTCCTCCTCCTCCATCTCCATCTCCATCTCCATCTCCATCTCCATCTCCATCTCCATCTCCATCTCCATCTCTTCCTCCTCCTTCTCCTCCTCCTTCTGGCTGGCCAGCGAAAGTCGCAAAGGATGGGCTGAAGGGGCAAGGATGCGAAGGTACCCTTGGGAAGGCTGTCCATCCTTACTATGCGGTTGGACTGTATGGGCCGGTCCAGGTGCAGTCGGCACGGTCTCAACGGAGGTTCTGGAGCCGTAAGGCACAATCAAGCAAGAGGTTCTGCACCTGAAGCTGCTCCTCTGAGGTCAGTGGTTCGGCGGCGGCCTCGTCGGCCGTCGGGATCCTTTCTTCCTCGATCCTCGATCCTCGTCCCTTATTTTTACCCCTCCCTCATCCTCGTCCCTCCTCCCTTTCTCTCCTTCTCCCCCCCCTCCCCCCAGTCCTCCGCCTCCTCCTCCCTCCTCCTCCTCCTCCTTCTCCTCCTCCTCCTCCTCCTCCTCCTCCTCCTCCTCCTCCTCCTCCTCCTCTCTCCTCCTCCTCCTCCTCCTCCTCCTCTCTCCTCCTCCTCCTCCTCCTCCTCCTCCTCCTCCTCCTCCTCCTCCTCCTCCTCCTCCTCCTCCTCCTCCTCCTCCTCCTCCTTCCTCCTTCCTCCTCCTCCTCCCTCCTTCTCCTCCTCCTCCTCCTCCTTCTCTTCTTTCTCTTCGTCCTCGTCATCGCCACCACATCCACCACCATCATCAGTCACACTAGTCGTCACCGCCACCATTTTCACCATCTTCGTCGTTTTTGCGACTGGCATTACCACTCGAGGGATCAATGTCCACACGAGCATCCGCATCCGCACAAATATCTCCACCAACTCCACCACCACCATCACAGTTACAACGCAACTAACTTCAATATACTCATAACAATCGTCATCATCGCTCCATGGCCGCACTCATGAATTCTTCCTCACAACCATCGGTACCCATCATCATCGTCATCACCATCATCATCGTCATCACGATCATCCTGACAGTCATTATCAGTCACCATGACCTTCAACATCAGAGAGAACGTGGTCCACCGCCGCTTTACTGTGGAAAATTCCCCCCCCTCTTCCTCCGGAACCCGGGGTCTCCCCCCTCCTCCGAAAATCCCCCCCCCCCTGCTGGACCCCCCCCTTCCCCCGGCAAGCCCCCCCCCCCTCCCCTAACCTCTCCCCCCCCCTCCCCTCCAGAAAAGTGGGGGGGTCACTACCGGTTCGAGCTCCCCACCCCCTCGGAAAACCGGGGGGGGTCACTACTGGCTCGACCCCCCTCCAGAAAACCAGAGGAAGGTCACCACCAGTTCGAACCCCCCCACCCCCTCCAGAAAACCGAAGGGGGGGGTCACTACCGCCGGTTCGACCCCCCCCCCCGCGAAAACAGGGGGGGGGTCACTACCGGTTCGAACAAGCCCCCCTCTCGAAAACCGGGGGGGGTCACTACGGGTTCGAACCCCCCCCCCCTCACCGCCAGCAAACGACTCCCGGTCCCTACCACCGTCCGCACCACATCCCCAACTGCTGTTCCCAGCACCACTGTCCTCACCACCACTGTCCCCACTGGTTCCACCACCGTCCCTACTCCCCACCAGGGCCCCCACCATTGTCGCACTGTCCTCACTGTCCCAACAACTGTTCCCACCACGGTTCCACTCACCCCACTTTCTCGACGGTCCCAACCACTGCCCGACTATCCCCACTGTCCCCACTGTCCCACTGTCTCCTCCGCTGTCCCACTGAGCTGTCCCACTGTTCCCACCACTGTCCCAGCTGTCCCCAGCACTGTCCCCACTGTACCTCTGTCCCATTGTCCCACGGCCGTCCTGGCCACCGCCCTTCACCACTGTCCCCACCACCACTGTACCCTCCACTGTCCCACTGTTCCCACCACATTCCCACTGTCCCCACACCACTGTCCCCACCACCACCGTCCCCACCACTGTCCCACTGTCCCCACTGTTCCCACCAGTGTCCCCGCTGTCCACACCAGTGCCCCCCACCAGTGTGTCAATGTCCCCACTCTCCCCACCATTGTCCCACCACGGTCCAACTCTCCCCACTTTCCCCACGGCCCCCACCACTGTCCCACTGTCCCCACTGTACCCACTACTGTCCCACTGTCCCCGCCGCTGTCCCACTGTGCTGTCCTAGCGTCCCCACTGTCCCCATCACTGTCCCACTGTCCCCACTCTCCCCACCACTTTCCCCACCGTGCTACTGTCCCACCACTGTCCTCACCGCCGCCTTCATCACTGTCCCCACCACTACCGTCCCCACCACTGTCCCACTGTCCCCACCACTGTCCCGCTGTCCCCTCACCACTGTCCCCACCACCACCGTCCCCACCACTGTCCGCCCCCGCCCCCCCCAGTTTTCGAGGGGGGCGGGTTCCAACCGGTAGTGACCCCCCCCGGTTTTCCAGGGGGGGGGTTCGAACAAATAGTGACCCCCCACGGTTTTCCAGAGGGGGGGGGTCGAACCGGTAGTGCCCCCCCCCGGTTTTCCGCCAGCAGCGGTAGAACACGCTCTTTCCAACATCATCATCACTGCCTCCTACTTATTTCCTCCTCCTCCTCCTCCTCCTCCTCCTCCTCCTCCTCTTCCTCCTCCTCCTCCTCCTGCTCCTCCTCGCTCCTCGCTCCTCCTCGCCCATCGTTCCTCTTCCCTCCTCCACTCCCCTCCCTCCCCCCTCCTCCCCCCAAGTCACCCGCGTCGGCGCGCGCCCGCGCGGTCGCGGGCGCATCGCTGGCGGCCCCCGCCCCGCTCCAGAACTGGGGCGGGTTCCCTGGAGGAGGGGCCACCTCCTCGAGGAGGAGAGGGAGGAGGAGGAGGAGGAGGAGGAGGAGGAGGAGGAGGAGGAGGAGGAGGAGGAAGAGGAGGAGGAGGAGGAGGAGGAAGGGGACGAAGAAGAGGAGGAGGAAGAGGAGGAGGAGGAGGAGGAGGAAGAGGAGGAGGAAAACCAGTGTAAACCCAAGAGCCACCAACGATGTTGGAATACATTCTCCCTCCAAGCTCCCTCTTCATAGGCCCCTACAACGGTTCATCTCCACTGAAGGATCTGACTCGTTGGAAGACAACCGTTTGAAGGTCCGGAAGCATGCCAAAACATTGTTCTCGGGATTCCAACGCCGCGGGTCAACCTGACTGTTGCGTCTTGACAATCACGGACCGTGCCCAAAACGCCATTCTTGGGATTTCAATACCGCGAATCGACGTAAATGTAGCACTCGCAGAAGTAGGGATCCGTGAAACTCTTGCAACTTGTATGAACGAATGAGCGCGGCGCAAAGGCGAGAGTCACAATTGAAAAAAGGAACCGCCCTCAATCCGTGAAGCCCTTGCACATGTTTAAAGCGAGTATGCGCGGCGCTATGGCGAGAGCCACGTTTCTAAAACGGGTGATCATAATTCCGTGAAGCTCTTGCAGTAATTTAATACGAATGCACGCGGCGCTGAGGCGAGAGCCACGTTTTGAAAACGGGTTACCCTCAATCCGTTGAACTCTTGCAGCTTGTTTAGCGAATATGCGCGGCGCTGAGGCGAGAACTACATTTTGAAAGCCAGCCGCCTTCCATCTGCGAAGTTATTGCCAAGTTTCAAGCACTATAATCATAGATGGTGAGGAAGGCTCAGGCGAAACGCCCAGCCCGCCCTAACAACTGGCCTCGGGGTGCGACAGGGGGAAGTTAGTTATAAGGAAAAGGAATGGAAGAGGGCGAGCAACAGGAGGAGGAGGAGGAGGAGGAAGAAAAGAAGGAGGACTTCAGGTAGAATGAACGAGAAAAGACGAAGCCAAGCGGACAAGAAACGAGACGATGGCAGATGATGATCCCGCTCGCTCCCACCGACTACTACGCCCAATACTCTGCTGCGCTGTAACATGCGGCCGCGCTGGCCGCTGCATTCGGGCGCACTTTGATGCCAACACTCGGGAAACCGGAAAAGCACTGATCGGTAGCAGGAGCGACGGTGGGAGGACGGGCAGGAGACGAGCGAAGCGAAGGGCACCAAGACGGGGAAGAGCTGGGTGGCGTGAGCCAGACGGTGGGCTCAAGGCGAGATGGGCGGGTGGCCTCAGGGGCCTCATGCGCAGCGGCAGCCGCGCTAGGCGGCGGAACGGCGCGTGCATCAGCAAGCAGAGCTTCTTCGGGATGTGCAGGATGGGCTGCGTCAGCCAATCCGTCGCCACCACTAGCAGCATCGTGCAGGACGGGATCTTCAGGACGGAGACGTTCGCCACCAACGGCAGCGCGATGCGGGACTCGTTCAGCGGGAGGGCGTTGTGCGCCACCAGCGGCGGCATCAGGCAAAACAATTACCGTCGGGGTGAGCATGGGCGGCAGGGCCAGCCAATCGATCCCAGTGTCGGCGCTCGTAGTCACAGCATATACCCCGCCCGCGGTCGACAGCTCAATGCGGTTGGACGTCGCGAGCTGCACGATGGGCTGCGGGCGCCACTCCAGGCAGCGGAACAGCACGAGCATCGCCATGGGGCGCGACGGCACGGCGCACAAGTTCATCGACCAGAACAGCGAGAGCCAGACTGCAGCATCTGCGTTGGAGCAGATCGGAGCGACGAAGGTGAGGGGCCCCAGGCACAGCCCAGGCATCTAAACCGCCATCGAGCAGTCGCCGAGGTCCAACAGGAGCAGCACTAGCCACACCAGCGGCAGCGTCTTGGACGCCGTCGAACACACGTACACTAGGAAGGGCATCGCGATATACCTCGATAGCAGGATGCGCACCACACGCGGCAGCGTCGACGTGCACTTGTTCGCATCCAGCGGCAGCATCATCGCGGTCAGCAACAGGATGTACTTCGAGAGCAGACTGTTCGCGCCACGCGCGGCAGCGTCGTCGTGCACTTGTTCGCCACCAGCGGCAGCATCATCATGTTCAGCGCAAACCTCGTCTGGCGGGTCGCTCTCCGAGGACAAGGGGGACTCGGACGCGAAGACGAACCGCGCGTCGAAACAGCGGATGAAGACCCTGTTCTGGATTAGCATCTTACGCCGTGCGGCCCGATGCAATTCGCGGACAAGTGGGCGGAGGGCAGCGAGAGCATCGCCAGCAATACATATTCATGACGAAGACGGGCGCCAACAGCGGCAAGGGCATGCAGAGAAGGGTCAGGAGCGCCCGTGGCAAACCGAGGAGGAGGCCTAGCGGCGCGCTGCCGAGCGGGCTGTGGACGTGGGCCATCGCCAAGTGCATCGCCAGCGTCGCGTGGACGTGAGCCTCTGGCGGCGGCGGCATGCAGGACAGGATCAGGAGCGTCAGCGACAAGCTGAGGAAGAGGCCCAGCGTCATGAAGCCGAGCGGGTTGTGGGCGTGGGCCATCGCCATGGGCGGGAAGCGGTCCAGCGCCGACTCGCGGGGCCTCCGGCTCAGCGTTGCGACGAGGAAGGCGACCATGGGCGACGAGGCTGAACTTCAGGACCAGGGGCAACGCAAAGAGGTCGCCCACGGACCAACTGCAGGAAATTCGCGACCAGCGGCAGCTCGTTGCCCATGCAGACGCCCAGCTGAGTGACCACCCGCAAAGCGGCAGGCAACGCAGCAGCGTGCGGAACAAGTACGTGTAGTTGAAGTGTCTGGCGCTTGGGTCGCGACCGCCTTGCAGCGCTCGGCAAGCGCGGCGACGCAGAGCGCCGGCACTGCTGCGGCGCGGCATGGCGAACATAATCAGCAGCCGAGGCAGCGGACGCCATCCCGTGGACATATGGCTCCGCGGGCCCCAAACGGTGGCGGCGCGGCGCTGGGCCAGCAAGCCTCGGGCGAAACAGCCGCGGCGACCCTTTCGGTCAAGTCCGAGGCCCCCGAGGAGGGGGCGGACTTGAGCCAAAATGGCTACGGAAAGGAAAAGAGGAGGATGAGGAGGAGGAGGAGGTGGAGGAGGAGGAGCAGGAGGAAGAGGAGCGCCCGTACCACCAGAGGGTGCACGGGCTCAGCGGCGGCGCGCCGGGCCGCTCAGGAGCAGGAGGAAGAGGAGGAGGAGGAGGAGGGGGAGGAGGAGGACGACGACGACGACGAAGAACTGGCGGCGCGGCTGCGCCAGGCGCAGGCGACTGGCGCTCGAGGCCGCCTGTTTTTTGCTCGCGGTGCTCAGCCGGGCCCCGTGGGCCCCCAAAAAATACGCGCCGCGGGCCCCGCCCCGAAGACCTCCTCGGGCCTGGCCCCTGAAGAGCCTCGATTTCCAAGAGGAGCCGGTGGCCCCGCAAGTGCGAAGCCGCCCAGGGGCACGCAAAGAACTCTACACATATCCAAATATCCTCAACATGTCTCCATGATATCTGAGCGTTCGTCTCCCCCCAAAAAACTTCGTGTAATTCCCCATCTTTTCCTGTGGGTCGACAATTCTTTGCGCCCGTGTATTTCTTCACTCCTGAACATGGTTTTCTCCCGCGCGAAGCCCCTCAGCGCCAAATCGGCAGGCCCAGCCCGCGCGCCGGTCCGCGCGCGGCGACGGCAGAACCAAAAGCCGACCGACAGCGACAACGAAACCGGAACCGACCCAAACCGACAGGCCGAAAGCAGCCTGCGCAGAGGGGCGCAGCGAGGCGGCAACGACGCGAGCAACCAGCCTAGAGGGGCGCTGCGACGCGGCAACGACACGAACCAACCACAAATAACCGGCCAACCGAACCGAGCCGAGGCTCGACAGCTGCCCAGCCTCCTGGCTTGAGGGGGCAGCGGCCAGCGTCGTGTCCTCCGTCTCCTCCGCCTCGTCGGCGCGGGTGCGCAGCTGGACGCCGCGGTCGGGCGCGCCGCCTGCCTCTTGCGCGGCCTCCTCGAAGTCGTCGATGACCGTCGCGAGGTGTCCGCTCGGAGCCTTCTGCAGTGGGGGGCGAGAGGTCCCTGCGGACCATTGGATATGGATGTCGCCGCCGCCGGGCAAAATCAGCTCGTGTTGGCCCACGTCCAGAATCTCGCGCGTGGACCCCGTGCTTCGTAGGCCGAGCAGGCCAGGCAGGTCGCTTCCCGATCCTCCGACACTGAGCGCTGTAAAGCTGCGGAGTAGCTTTGCCCTACTGATCCGTGACGGCAATGGGGGGCATTCGCCTGATGGGTGCACTCTTGGGCTCCGTTGCCAACGCCGCTTGGATGCCCAGAGGCTTGCTCATGAGGAGCTGTTGCGGCCGATGCCCTGCCTCTGCGGTTCGGCGGCGCAGCTGGCGCGCGAGCTTCTCACCCGTGAGGTTGGTCCACGCACCCGGGTCTGCGACGGCGCTGAGCTCACCTGGGGGGAGCGGCGAGCGACTGTGATGCACCTGGGTAGCGCGCTCGTTTGCTGGGCCAATGGTTGGCCACCAGGGTAGCACATCGGCTTCGCCGCCTCGTGGCGAGCCTCGAGGCGACGGCCGCCCCCAGGTGGGCGCAGGAGCGATGAAGGTGATATCGCCGATCGGTGCATTGCGCGGAGGTGTGGTCAAGACACCGTTAGCGCCGGATGGGCGCGTCCTCATCGGGCGCTTCGCGGGGCGCGGCGTCGATCTGGATGCGCGCGACCTCGCGCGCTACCAGATATTGCCTACGTGTTGCGCATCGTGAGAATGGTGGCCGGGCCTGGTCGCCACGGAGTGCTTCTTCTACTGCTCGCATCTGGGCGTTGTTGTTGGTAGTGGCAGCCCTGGCGTCGGCGCAGGTCCGATGGGGGCGATGGCCACGCTGGAGCTTAGCAGCAATGTGCACGTTGACGCAATGGTCCAAACAGCTGCCGCGCATCTCATCGGCGTCAACTTCGAGTCCAGCGAGTTCTGACTCTGCGCGTATATCGCATATCCGACGGTTGCGGCGGAGGCGCAACGGCCGGGGAGGCCCCGCCGTCGCAGCCGGCCCCGGGCGCGGGTGCTAGCGCGGCGGCCAGGCACGTTGCCAGCGGCGACGCGGCGGAGAGCGTGCGTCGGGGCACTTCCTGTCCCGGGAAGCTCGGCGGCGAGGGCGGATCAGGGGTCGAGGCCTTGAGCGCGCCAGAGGTCATGTGCATCGTTGCTGTTGTCAGTGGTCATGCCCGCGAGTCCTCCGAAAGATGGCGTCGCGCGAAGGGCGCTGGCGATGTCGCTTGGTGCATGCTCCGCAATGCGACCCACGCGCCTGAGGATAGTCGTGAGACTGTTGAGCTCGGCCTCTGTGGCTGGGCATTGGTTGCCGCGCAGTTGGAGCAGCGCCGTGAGTTGGCCAGCTGTGACACCGACCGCTCGGAGGAGCAGCGCAGCTCCACCGCTGCGCGTTGCTCGGAATCGCGGCGCGTGCAAACGCGAGAGCAACGCGTCTGCGGTTTTGTTGCATCGCTTCGAGAAATCGCAGAGTTCGCTGTTTGCCCGGAGACGCGGCTCGCCTAGTTGGTCGAACGTTGTAGCGAGGTTCACCATGAAGTAGGTCACGGCGTCCTCTTGCTGGCCGTTGACCACGCCTCCCTCCGTCATCTCCGTGAAGCTCATGGAGCGCGCGAGCTCGCGGAAAGCCCCACCGAAGTTGAGAATGACGGCAGCGAGCTGTTGAGCGTGATCCATGTCGGTGGCTAGCACGCTCCAAGCCAGCAAGTCCCGTACCCAATGGCGGGAGGGATGCGCGGAGTCGCGCTCGAATGACCATGGGGGCGGCTGGCGGGATGCGATGGCACTGCGGCTGCCGCCGCCGCGTGGGCCGATTCCACCAGGCATCATGCCGGTGAGCCAGAACGTAAAGATGGATGCTGCCCAAGAACGTCATCATGGATACCCTCCTCGATACGACCTCACCACGACGATGGCTGTCGGCGCCTTGAGACTCGGGCCCGCGCAGGGACGAACGCCATGTCGAAGCGCGGGGCAGCCAAAATGATTTCATGGTCGCCCTTGGTTGAAGCCGGGATCGGAAAAACTGGTTCATTGACTTGCAGAGTTCCACTCGGGTGGTGCGATGTGCTCGAAAGGACAATCAACACTTTCGCACACGTACCCAGGCACGGCGCTAGCCCAGGATGGAGCCTTGCAGTCATGCCCGACGCGAAGCTGCGGCCAGTGCCTGTGGGGTTGCGATTGGTCGAGGGACGACGTGGCGCTCCTGTGGGCGAGTCGCTCCTCATCGCGGTTGCGCCTTTTGCTGTTGCCCGCGCAGTCGGGCCGGGTGTCCGAAGCGAGCTGCCGGTTGGCTTGCAAAACAACCTGGAGCACAGGCTGCTCAAGGAATGGAAGTGGTATCCATGCGGAGATGAAGGTCGGTGCGAATTTGCGTCCACACCGCTCTCTTCGCACAGTCCGTGGGCCGCGATCTGGGATCGCTCCCAGCTCCGCTACCAACTAGTACGAAAGAACGCGTGGGAGCAATATGATGTATATTGCGGGGTGTGCACTCGCCCCTAAATCCTCATCTCTCCTCCACTTTCCCAATCATCTCACCACTCCTCCTCTTACTCCTCCACCTCATCCTCCTCATCCCCCTCCTCCTCCCGCCCCTTCTTCCTTCTCTTATCTTCGCTACTCTTTATCATCCTCCTTTTCCTCCTCCTCCTCCTCCTCCTCCTTACTCCTCGCACCTCCTCGCCCATCTTTGCTCATCCCCCCTCCACCTACCTTTTCCGCGAGCGACCCTCCACAAGCTCCAAGCCCAGTTTACATTTCTTTCCTCCTCCTCCTCCTACTCGTCCTCCTCTTCATCCTCCTCCTCCTTTTTCTTTTTCCTCCTCCTCCCCTCATCCTTCTTGGGGGGGAACAGTAGGAAGGAAGGAAGGAAGGAAGGAATGAAGGAAGGAAGGAAAGAAGGAAGGAAGGAAGGAAAAATAAGAAGACACGACACAGAAATAAATGGCGGAGGCTTCGCCCGATCCTGGCTGCCCCCTCCCTCTCGCCGACTCGCCAACCGCCGCCAGCGCCCGAAAAAGGCTACCCCGTGCCAGCGGCTGCCGCCGCCGCAGTCGTCATCACCGCCACCCACCGCCGCCGCTGCCGCCGCCGCCACCGTAGTCGTCGTCATCATCGTCGTCGTCGTCGTCGTCGTCGTCGTCGTCGTCGTCGTCGTCGTCGACGTAGACGTAGCTGCCACCGCCGCCGCCGTCGCCGCCGTCGTCTGGAGATCGGGTTCGAACTCGGGTTTCCGGCGACCGTTCGGAACGAGCTGGGCACTCCAGGAGCGATCTCGGCGAGGCGCAGCCGCTGGAAGGCACGCCGAGGCTGGAAAGCCGCCGTGAACCGACGAAAATGTCCGAACACCTCAACGGTCGGGAACTTTTGCTAGGCGTGTCGCCATGGCGGCCCCGGCGACACGCTCTCCCTGCGAGCGAACATCGTGTCGCTCCGCTCCGCGGGGCGGGAGAGTGGGAAAGACTCGGGACGTGGACTGCTCGGAATGTGAAGTGGATAGCGTGTCGAGCCGAGGCGTTGTGGGCCAGAGCGGCGGCGCGACACGCTAAGCCAAAGTTCCCGACCTTACCCCCA